ATGAGGATAACAAAAAGATTAGGTGATGAAAGATTGAATATCAGATTGGAGGGAGAGAGTATGGAGGAGGTGAACGTATTCAGATATTTGGGAGTGGACGTGTCAGCGGATGGGTCTATGAAAGATGAGGTGAATCATAGAATTGATGAGGGAAAAAAGAGTGAGTGTGCACTTAGGAGTCTGTGGAGACAAAGAACTTTGTCCTTGGAGGCAAAGAGGGGAATGTATGAGAGTATAGTTTTACAACGCTCTTATATGGGTGTGAAGCGTGGGTGATGAATGTTGCAGCGAGGAGAAGGCTGGAGGCAGTGGAGATGTCATGTCTGAGGGCAATGTGTGGTGTGAATATAATGCAGAGAATTCGTAGTTTGGAAGTTAGGAGGAGGTGCGGGATTACCAAAACTGTTGTCCAGAGGGCTGAGGAAGGGTTGTTGAGGTGGTTCGGACATGTAGAGAGAATGGAGCGAAACAGAATGACTTCAAGAGTGTATCAGTCTGTAGTGGAAGGAAGGCGGGGTAGGGGTCGGCCTAGGAAGGGTTGGAGGGAGGGGGTAAAGGAGGTTTTGTGTGCGAGGGGCTTGGACTTCCAGCAGGCATGCGTGAGCGTGTTTGATAGGAGTGAATGGGGGACAAATGGTTTTTAATACTTGACGTGCTGTTGGGAGTGTGAGCAAAGTAACATTTATGAAGGGATTCAGGGAAACCGGCAGGCCGGACTTGAGTCCTGGAGATGGGAAGTACAGTGCCTGCACTCTGAAGGAGGGGTGTTAATGTTGCAGTTTAAAAACTGTAGTGTAAAGCACCCTTCTGGCAAGACAGTGATGGAGTGAATGATGGTGAAAGTTTTTCTTTTTCGGGCCACCCTGCCTTGGTGGGAATCGGCCGGTGTGATAATAAAAATAAATATTATATATACATTATAAAATATATTTTATATATATATAAAAATATATATATATATATATATATATATATATATATATAAATATATATATAAATATATAATATATATATATATATTATATATATATATATTTGTCGTGCCGAATATGTAAAACTGGTCAATTAGCAAGAACTTATTTAAAATTAAGTCCTTTCTAAAATTTTCTCTTGTACGTTTAAAGATATATTTTTTTCATTAATGTTAATGTAAAAATTTTTAATTTTGCACCAAAAGAATTTTAGAAAACTTACCTAACCTTATTATAACAAGAGCAATTTATTTTAGCCCAACCCAACTAAATATATTTTAGATTTGTTTACAGTAATTTAATACTAACCAAACACAGTGAAATATTTTTTTCGTTAGGTTCAGAATGATTTTGGCGAAATTATTGCATACACAAAATTTTCACTTGTCCTATATGGCAAAATGAGCGTTGCTATTTAAGCCAAGATCGCAAGTTCTGCCTATTCGGCAGACACACACACACACACACATATATATATATATATATATATATATATATATATATATATATATATATATATATATATATATATATATATATTCATTTTTGAAATCAGTCCTATGTTTTATGAAACTTGATTGAATAATATTTTTCAACCATGGATCAGCTTGATACAATTCCCTTGGTCTGTGGATAATCAATTGTGTAGTTAGAATCTCTCACATGACTAAACAGAGCATTAGATTCTTGTCCAGTTCTAGTTATTTATATCTTAACAATTCAAGGCTTATCCCAATTTGACCGTAATTAACTTTATTTAGCTTTTTACAGGAAATCTTATGACTACAGCCATCAGCATTTTTGATAGAATTTTAATTATTTTTTTTACTCTAATAAGATTTATAAATACAACTTTAATTTTAAAATTCTTCAATAGTGAAGATATATGAAGAAAGTTCTCATGGTAAGTAGAACCAACATGTACTTGGATGAATGTGTTTCTTTGTCCATTTTTTTTATTTGTAAAGATGTAAATATGTGTTTCTTGCAATTTTGAAAAAAGTTGTCAATTAATTTTTTTGGGTATATTAGATCATTTGCGGTATCATAATTTTATTATAATTATTATTATTATTATTATTATTATTATTATTATTATTATTATTATTATTATTATTATTCACACTGCATCAAGCAGGTTCATGATTGAAAGAAAAATAAGTGATCATTATGAATGTTAATTCAAGGTTATATAAATTGATTCATTTTTAATATGGAGAATTTGCGAGGAATTTAAGAAATGCCTGACATGTCAATCATAAAAAACATGTGACCTGACCAAATCTTCACTCCACTCCCACAGTCGCTGGGATGCGTGGTGTGTGAGGTGAAATCTCACCATTATAAGTCTTCTGTTCTATTATTTTTACTATTCCTTGATAAAGTGAGAAATGACGAAAGTGCATGGAATTTCACTATTTCTTCACTGTGGTTATTTTTTATATTGTGATCTCATTGTGATCCTATTGCATTATATATATATATATATATTATATATATATATATTTTATATATATATATATATATATATATATATTATATATATATATATATGTGTGTATGTCGTGCCGAATATGTAAAACTGGTCAATTAGCAAGAACACATTTAAAATTTTGTCCTATCTGAAATTTTCTTTCATACGATTAAAGACATATTTTTTTCATTAATGTTAATGTAAAAAATTTTAATTTTGCACCAAAAGAATCTTAGAAAACTTACCTAACCTTATTACAACAAGAGCAATTTATTTTAGCCTAACCCAACTAAATATATTTTAGATTTGTTTACAATAATTTAATACTAAACAACCACAGTGAAATATATTTTTTTCGTTAGGTTCAGAATGATTTTGGCGAAATTATTGCATACACAAATTTTCACTTGTCCTATATGGCAAGATGAACGTTGCTATTTAAGCCAAGATCGCAAGTTCTGCCTATTCGGCACGACATTATATATATATATATATATATATTGGCGAGGGTTTTTTTTAAATGGAACAATAAGTGTGTAACAA